TGTAGGCCAGCTGCTCAGTTAATTGTCAGTGTGCCAAATCCATGCACTGTAATTCTATTGACAGAGTAAAATCAGCTTGTTTGATTAACTGAGATTGTTTCTGTTTTAACTAGTGGAACTGAAAGAATTAAAAGCCTCGAGCTTTCAGCTATTTTTCCCTGAATAATAAGACAAACTTATAAAGCTTAATGACGTGACAAACGCTTAGCAATGCATAGCCTGTGTTCCCACAGGCAGGCTAAACAAGATCTTCCTCGCTGTTCTGTGAATATAGTTAAGGAGCCAGCCTGCAAACTTCTACTGTGCTCATTCTGTGCTTTTCCTGTATGGAATCTAACACCTGACAAAGACATGTCACCTAGAATTTCAAAGTGAAAAGCAGATCTGCCCATAGGTCTTAGCTACATTTTCATACAGCTTATTGAAGATGAAAGTAAGGTTGTCTCTTTAAAAGGATGCATTTTAAGAGGTCTGTCAGCAGTACTAAACTTGCTTGGAATCACAACTACTGAGGTGGTATTAATCAGCTAACCTGCAAGTAAGAATTTTCATAATAAATCACCTATCCTAATGCTAGGATCAAGAGGTTACATTGTTTAGTGAAGGAAGCTCAGGATGTCACTGTAAGAACCTACAAATCTTAGTGGCCAGAAGCAACAGTTTCCACATTGTACTCAAAATGTTAATTAAACTGTTACCTCCTTTTCTTTTTGTTGTTTTTAATGCACACAATAATACAAATTTTAGATCATCATCTTCTTTCGTTTCTACCTCCCACCACATTTCAGGGGTTTGACAGCAGAGTTCTTTACCGTTGTTGAATGACAGACTACATTCCTATAATAGAGAATGCTATAGAAAGAGCTCCTCAGTCAATTCTGTATTTTAAGTGAGTGAGTTTTTCCCCTCAGCTAGTAAACAGAAATAGGATTATTCCCAAATCTGGTTTCTTAGATAACATGCTTGATAATCTTTATGCAAACCTTCCTTCATCTTCCATTATTCAAATGGAATATGTTCCTCAATTCAAATTATTATCTGAGTTAAATTGAAGGCTTTAACATATTTTTTCAGAATTTACAGAATGTAAACAAGAATGGTTGTCTTCATTGAGTCTTATCATATAACATCAGCAAGAAAACAGCAAAATTTATTTTTGCTGTTCAATTTTGAAAAGTTTCCTGATGAATTATTTCATTTTAAAATTGGCTTAATTAATGAGGGTTATGTAATACAGGCCTCTTTGTCAAGTTCTTACTTGTGCTCTAGGAGATAGTCTCTCCACCTCTCAAAGGAGTGAGCTTTTCTTCCTGTTTCCTTGGTGATGGATCAGGAAGTGAATAAATCCTTTCATACACTGTGCTGTGGTCTCCAGTAAATGACAATGTAGGGTGTTACCAGTTCCAGCTGTTCCTATGAACTTCTCTTTAGAGATGGTTGGCACTAAATGGCACAGGAAAATAGCTTTGGCAGGGGATCTCTGTGACACAGCACTTACCTAAACTTTCTTTTACTGCAAGATGCATAGCAAATCACTCAGCCTTTGATCTCAATTTGTCTGCCATTTACAGAGCTCTTTTTTTCCTCTCTTCTCCCCTTCAGCTATTATCTATAGGTTTCAAATTGTATTTTTTTCCTTCCTTGGAGAGCATAACATTATTTCTTCTTCTTGTCTTTTTTGGTTTTTTTTCAACAGCTCCGAACTGGAAGAATTGTGTTGTCTGAACAGACTGTATAGAGCATGTTATGCTCAAATCTTCACCCCATGGAATTCACAGAAGTTCTACAGAGCTAAAATTATTCCCAATTAAATTGATTGTAAATCAAGTGTTTTATGTCCCTAAAAAGCTGTTTTCAAGTTACTGTGGAAATAATTAAACCTCCTGATATTTATTTAATAACTAAAACACAAGTTCAGATGAGAAATTTAATGTATTTTGTTCTTATTATGCTATTTTGTAGAAGAACTTGTTAAGTCAGGGCACATTACAGGCCCGTACTGGAGAGAGCAAAATCATTTAACAAGCAAAAGCTCCCTCTCGTGGCAGGCTGGCAGGAGGCCCCGTAACAGCTGCTGGAAAGAAAACCCAAGAGAGCTCACAGCACACGCGGTCTGATTCTTCCTCGTCAGCGTATTGCTGCTCCTTCTGCTGAGAATTACAACAATACAGACACGAGAAAATTAATTCTTGTCATAGAAGGAGACAAGAATTATGAGGAACAAAACAGTAAGGAACTTCACTACCTTAATATAACTGAACTCAATTCTGGAAAGAGCAGCAGCATCCCAAACTGTCACAGTACATATATTAGACAAAAAATAGATTTGGAGAAGTGCTATAATTTAATACCAAGCCTTTCCCCTTTTATTAAAGGCTTGCTGGTGAAAGTGATATAGCAATGGGGAAGTTACTTGAGCTACATAAATGGGCTCTATTCAGAAATAATCAACGCCCAATTTAAAAGAACTAATGCTTTTCACTCTGTCTTGTTTTAGGAGGTTTAATTTTTCTACTGATAGAAATAATTAATTTTGAAGTTCAGAAGTTTGTCTGAAGTTATGCAAGATGAACCACAATCATTATTTTTATGCTTATTATAATATATAAATAAATAAATAAAAATAAATATAATAAATAAATATATTTATATTTATTTTTAACTTAATTTTGTATGCACTCCTTTCTTCTTTAGAACAAACAACAAAGCCATTAAAAAAAAGAGTTTCTATTGCCTTACCTTCCCCCTTCAACAAATCTTTAATATGAAGTCATAAATTAATAATTGTTTGAGTGGAAGGGATGCAGACCAACTCACAGTTCTTTTTCCCCTGTTTTCCTTAGAGTACAAAGGTAACAAACATAGAAATAGCTACTTAGAGTTTTAAAGTTAGAGAGGACCCATAAGGGAGTTCTACTATTTCCCTCTGCTAAGTCACACATTGTTCCCAAAGGCCAAGGATTTTGTTGGTTTTTGAGAGAAAGGCAGATATCTCATGGTTTCACATATTGTCCACATTATTAACTTCATGATGGATAAAGCTATTCACATTTTAGCTTGTTATTCAAATATGTTTCAAAATGGCATTTAGACAGGCATTTGGTGAAGTTCCAGACTTTTGCTTCTGTTGAAATCAACAGTAAAACAGATTAACTTACTTGGAGCAAGACTAAAGCATTATGAAGTTGTAATACCTGTTAGAACAAAAACAATGTCACAGAAGTGTGTGGATCGTTAAAATAAAAAAATCTTTATATGAGAACAGAGTTGCCCTTTAGTGCAAGATTTTGAAATAACACTCTTAAACGGGTCAAGAAATACTGTTCTAAGTTGTAATATTGTTTCATTCCACAAAGCTTCAAATGTGATGATTCTCTGATTTTATCTAAATGTGAAAAACTACCTTGTAGATAAAATTACTCCAAAACAACAAACTCAAGACATTAACATTTTTCTATAAGAAATAAAAAGGGAAATATAAATATTTTAATATAGAAGGGTGAGGCATTACTGTTTTGCAGTATTTGCACTCATAGAAGTAACTGCAGTGAAGTATTTCATGTAAACTATTTTATCTGAGATAGAATGCGAGCATGAAAAATATGAAGAGCTGCTATCCCACAGGTTCTTATAGATTCCTTAATGCATTTCCTAAATACTGACTAAAAGGTAATGTGTGTAGCAATACTGTGATTCTTGGCTGCAATAAGGTTAATTATAAACATAAGATATAAGCACAGAGGAAATAGTCACAAGCCATCGTGATGTTGGAACTCAGTCCCAGCTTTCAGGAATGTGTTTATCTTGTCGAAGGACAAGGTTCTGGGAAAAGCTGGACTGGCGTCTTTTTAAGACAGCTGCTGATACATTATTGGTAGACTAACCAGAAGATTTTGTGAGTTTTGTTGGTTGTTTTTTGTTGTGTTTTTTTTTTTTTTTTTGTTAAGAATAAAAAAGCTATAAATACCAGTCTTCTATAGAATGTTTTCATTATTTTCTATGTATGTTCTAGCCTCAAAATACAGAGCTAGCTATCTCTTTGTTGACTCCTTTCTGCTAAAGAGAACACACTCCTGTAGATGCACACGCTCAGAGGCAAGAGAGAGAAGCCATATATAACAGGCTTTTTGCTAAAGCATTCTTAAGTCTACGTATTTCTTCATGCCTCAGTTGCCATTCCCCCTGGTTTCCCCTATGTAAGTACTTCCATTTTCCATGTACCTACCCACCCACCCACCCTTTCCTTCAAAAACCCTGTAATAGCACAACTCTGCCCTGGCAATAAAAAGTCCTCAGTGCTTTTGCTCAGAAGTCAGGCATTATTTGTCTGTATTTTAATGGCATGGAGAGGAATTAAACCCTATTTAATTGTTTAGGGATGATTATATCCGGATGATTCTCAGATGTGTTACCTTTTCTGAATAAACATTACATGAATTTTCTCCAGTTATCTACTCCAATGCTCTCCCTCTTGTTCTTGCTTCAGCCTTCATACAGTCTGTTCAGTACTACACAAAGTACCATTTTACTCCACTTTTGGTTTCATCAAGTATACTCTACACTTAGAGGGCCTAGCATATTTTACAACAGTTACAGTACAATTTAGGAGAAATATAAGCAGATACAGAGATACTGTAATAGCGTCCTCTTGCTTATCTTACAAGAAAGCATTCTTGTAAATCTCCTTTGAAACAAAGTTGTTTAAAAATTGCCCTCAGTTAAATAGAGGCAAAACACCAAACTAATAACCAATAATATCTTTTTCTTCACAGAAAATGCTTGCATGTATTACAGAAAACAGGACATAATAGGACAGATTGTTTGAAGTACATAGTTCAAGAATATGCCAACTTTAGTTACATCCAAATTTTAAGTATGAAGATTTAACACCTATGAAAATCTTGCATATGTATTACAAAATGTAGCTTTTATCTTAAGAATGTCTTTAATCCTGTGTTGTGAGAGTTACTGGTAGTAAAACTGAAAGATCACATACTTACAGCTCAGATGTTCATTGTATATTGAATAGCACAGGGATTGTTGCATGCTGGGAAAAACAAAACAAAATATTATGTAAAAACATTAAGTGCAAGTGTAACTCACATATCAGATAACAACTAAAAATAACAATAATTGGCAAGGCAAGTTCTCATTATGTCAAGGGCCTTACTCACATCTCAGCTGTTACATGTAATCTACAGCCTAATAAACTGAAATACTTTTTCCAAGCACTGGAAATCTTACTTAAAACGTCTTGCCTAGTCAATTTCCAGCAACACTGAGATGTATTACTAGATCAAGAAGAAAGCTGGGACTTGTTCAGGAATTTAAACAATTAAAGAAACTGTTAAAAGGCTGGCAGTTTTTTTTCATAGTAGATCATTATGAATTTTTCCCCAAAACTATCTTTTTATGATTATGAAATATGAATTTGAAATGGCTCAGTTCTCTTGTGAAAAGTCAGCATACACTTGAGATGTTAATCAGTTTTTGCACTATCCACTCTTTGCTCTTCTTTACCAGTTAACAATGTGACAATTCTCCCTCGGATATCCTAAATATAGAAAAGGGTTATTTCCATCCCAAAATTTCTTACCAGTGTTCTCAAGACTTTAATGAATCTCTTTGAAAAGTAAAAGAAAATTCTCTAAACAACAACTTTTGTTTCAAAGTTAATGCTTTGATTCCTTATCCAAACTAATTTTCACAATACCTCTGCTTGCAATTTACACTGGTAGAATATATTTGTGTTAGGTAAGTTCTGCAGCCCATAAAATTCACCCCAAAGTAATTTTAAATAATAATAATAGAACAAATTCAGCTAAAATATTCTTCTAACATTTTGATGTATTTTCTAACAGCTGTGCCCTGCTACAGTAGCAAGCAAATGTCATACTGCTGACTAGGCTTTGGTGTGAGATTCAGCTAACTGAACAAAACTGGGGAAACTAAAGCACGTAAGATTGAAAAAAAATAATCACAAGAAACTACAAATACTAGTGTGAGATACTGTCCAAAGTCCAGATTCCTCTCTGAGGGTGGCTGGATTCTATGGGTGGTTTAGTGGGAGGTACAGGTTATTGGAAAGGACTTTTAGGAATTAAATCATATAAGGCTGATGACACCTAGTAACCATATCAGTAATAGGACATAAGGCTCACCTTATCCAAGTAACTGTATCTAAGTAACCCAAATCTGGGTGTGGATGTAGCAAAATTGGACCTATGGGAATAATTAATTAGGGGTAATTGTTTATTTTGGAGGAGTTGAGGATGGAGAAACAGGTGCAAGGGAAGCAAAAATGAGGGCCAGGAAAGTAGAAAAGGAATGAGGTACACAAATCATATTACTGATGCTGCCCAGGTACCTGCCAGGCAGCCCTGGGTTTTATCATCAGATGTGGGGCAGGACAGTAGACAAGACAAGACCTCTTGTTCTGACCACATGGTAAGACTCAAACCTGTTTCTCCACTCAGAAGAACTGGAGCAGGGACATGCTCCTCTTAACCAGCAACAGTTCTGTTATCACTGCAACTGACTGCATGGGCAGCTGCCCACCACTTCCTAACATGCTCTTCGGTTATTGGATCTTAGAAAGAACATTATTTGGAAGTTTCAGCTTATGTTCTTGAATGGTTTTTTCTTTTTTCTTTTTTCTTTTTTTTTTCTTCACAGTGGAAAAATGGTAGAAATCAGACATTGTGCATAATACACCAGCTGCCTAATCAGATCAAATTTGAAATAAAAGAATATTTAAAGAAAAGACCAAGTAGGCTCCATAGCTTTTAGTGTATGACTGCATTATTCTTCAGGAGTATTTAAACAAAACCCATTACTATTATTACATTTAAATTTGATTGTATAGTAGTACTCTTTAAATAGAAGGCAACAGTGCCTACTTACACACTCAAGTGACTAGGAAGAAAGACTATGTTAAACACATAAGATAACTTGATAAATTGTTAGGGAAGGGGTGGGGATATATTTCTTTAACAGTAAGGTAAGGCTGATCTCTCTCTCTCTGATTCTCCAGTGACAAACACAAACAATTCCTATTTGATTTCTAAAGAAGCATAACAAAATGCTTCAACTAAAAGAAAAGAAATTCAACTTGTTCCATATAAAGAATGCATAAGGACCTGAAACACAAACCAAGTGTGAATGATCCCTCTTAGAGCCTGCCTAAAGCCAGATCAATACTTTGCAGAGCTGAGAACTGTGCAATCTATTTAAAGCAAAACCTCATACAGCAACTGCTGCAGTTTTAACATTCCGTCTTTTCATCACAGTGTGTGAGTTTACCTAATCTTAGAAACTATATGAATAAGCTAAGGGAAGGAGAGGAATGATAAAGAAATTGAAACAAACAAACAAAAAAGAACCATACAAAAGACAACAAAGACAATGTACAAGTGCTAGCAAAAAGAAGTGAGGGACATTTCAGCTATGTGCCTAACAAGTTCTGTCAGTACAACTCATGAACAGTTGGTAGAAGCATAGCACCTGCTGGGTTGAGCTAAGTTAGCTCTTCTGATCTCCAGCTGCTGACATTTTGCTTTGTTTTTTAATGCAAAGGCACAAATGCATATTACTCTATGGTATTTTAAATAGTGTAGGTACCAATCATACTGATTCTGTTTAGCTTCAGATCTGCAGAGCAAAGTGCTTCCCTACATCCTCATAACTTTTCTTCCTACCTGACTGCCCACTAATAAGAAAATGCCATATGACAAAAATAGTAATTTCTAGAAGCATATAAATCAGTGAATGCAATGCAAAATCACCAGGGCAGGTAATGCATGCCAGACAGTTTGTATATTAGCTGACAAGTCTAAATGCAGCCTTGCCAAAATAAAAGATGAATTCAAGTAGTGCAAGACACAGGTAAGCTGAACATTGAAGCCTTACTAGTGCCAGACGTCAGATGCATATGTTAAACCATAGGGTTACTGAAGGCTGTGCAGACAGCCTCTAAAAATACTGAAGAAACTTATCTCTCCTGATTTTTTTTTGTTCTTTCTTTCTGCATGTCTCTGAGCCAGATGATAATTGCAGTTCATGCGGTGGTTGTCCCAGTAGCTGTTTCTGCCCTAACACTTTTCTCCCTCCAATACTAGTCTCCATTTCCCTTTGAACTGCCACACCTACAATACCACAGCAAGTATTACCATGATGTACTAAGCCAGGTTATGCCAGCCTTCGTAAACACAGTGATGGAATTCAGGGCTCTGTAAATATCAGCCTAATGAGCAGAGAAACCACCAGCAGATGGCTCTTCCCAACTGCAGCCACTGCAGTCACAAGCTGAGGTGAAGAGATGAAGTCGCTCTCAAATGATGAGGAAAGAAGCCTTCAAGTGCTTCAATCTGTTCCCCTCAGGCGAAAGGCCCATTCAAATTTCTGCACCTTAAATACATGAATCATTTCAAAGTACCTTTCCCGCACTTTCACCTGGGCCAAGTCTCTGATCTGCTCCTGGCAGACCTTCCTCAGGGCCCAACACTGCTCACCTCATCCCAGACACGCTCCAGGCATGGCTGCTTGGCTGAGGAGGGCACTGTAGAGAACTGGCCCCGTCCCGCTCCTCTTCCCTCTGCCAAGCACCTGCCCCAGGTTCCAGAGCCTTCCAGCAGTCGCTGCCTGAAGAGGGGCTGATGACCAGGAGTGCAGTATGAGGAAAGGCTGGAGAAGCCACACTCCTGACCAGGTTTGAGGGCCGAGGTTCTAATGAGGCCAAGCAGGACATTTATTTGCCATCTGAAAGCGGTGCCTTGCCGTGGCCTCAGCGCCACTCTAGCACAACTCACTTCTCCGCACCACTTCAAGCCTAGCATAGCAACTAGCGCTTTTTTAAGATCCCATAAGCAGAGCAAAACACGAAAAACACAGAGCAGATGGGTACCCGTGTTATTTATAACCACCGAAGCCTCGGTAATACACCCTGAAGAAAAATCGGTTGGTATTTGAGGTCTGACAGCACGAGGTGCCCTCAGAGACGCGCCCCAGCAGCAAGGCGCAGTCACCTGTGGAAAGGCGGGCGCACAGGCACTGCAACGTCGGGTTCGAAGCGACGCGGGGAACGCCGAAGCCTCAGCTCCCACGCGGAACGCTCCACACCTCCACTCGCCCGGAGCGCGGCAGCCCGCCCGCTCGTCCCTCACAGCCTCTTTCCGCCCCCAGCAGCGCGAGCTCCACGAGCACAGCGCCCCCCGCAGCCCCGCGCGGGAACTGGGTCAGGCGCCAGAAGCGGCCGAGGGGGCGGGGCCGCCGAAGGGCGAAGGGGGGCGGGCTTCTCCCGCGTCGCGGCGCGGTGACGTCGAGGCGTCTGCGCGTGACGTCGCAGCGGCGTTCGTCCCGCTCCCGGTCTCGCCCTCGCTGCCCCTCGGCCCTCTCCGGCCCGTGCCCGCCGTCCGCTGCTGCCATGGCGAATGTGGCCGACACGAAGCTGTACGATATCCTGGGCGTGCCGCCCGGAGCCTCCGACAACGAGCTCAAGAAGGTGCGGCGGAGGGGCGGCAGCTGGCGCCCGGGGACGGCGGGCGGTAGCGCTGCGGGGCGGGGGTGGGTCGGGCGCCGGACGGGGCCTCGCGGGGCAGCGGGCGAGGGCCGGCGGGAGGCGAGCGGGCCGGGGGCGGGCCTCGGGATGGGGCGGTTGCTGGGGGGGGGGCACGGCTGGAGGCGCCGGGGCCGCGCCGGGTCTCGCCGCGAGGCCTGAGCCCGCGTGCGGGAAGAGAGAGGCGCCCGGTGTCACCTCAGCCCGGCGGGAATGCGCGGGCCGCGCCGAGGGGCCGTTGGAGCCTCGCCTGCGGGCGGGCGGTGGCGGAGCCGGGTAGGCCTCGGGCGGGCCCCGAGCGGCACGGGGGGGCGGGAGCGCCGGGGAGCCGGGCCCTGCCGTGCGGCACGGCGGTCTGAGATCCTCGCCATGGCCGTGGGCGGCCTCTGCCTCCCGCCGCCCTGCGCGCCCGACGGGCGGGGGCTCCTCGGGGGAGGGGAGCGGCGCAAAGCGGAGCGGGGCTGCGGCCTCCCCATTGTCTGTCCCACGTGTGGGCCCGGCGGGGTTTCGCTTTGCTCGAGTCCGGGCCGGGGGCACCGAAGCGAGGTGATAAAGAGGCAAGGAGAAAACTTGGAGCTGGGTCATCGGTCTAACGACGTACCGCAGGCATTTCAGTACGTAGGGTATGAACCGCTTTCCTGTTTCCCCCCCAAAAAAATTTTACCCCCGTTTATGCGGGAGGAAGGAAAATTAACAAGCAAGTTTACTAGCAGTGACCTGCTTCCGCTGATGGGTGGTGCTGCCACAAACAACCGCGTTACCCAGCATGCACACGGTAGCTTAATTTGTGCAGGGATAGGCAGTGGCAGTGTCGAAATAGTGTTAGTGAGAGGTGGTAGGAGGCTGGCAAACAGCATCAAGCACTGTTAACACCATCAGGCACTATTTTTTCCTTATCAAAGTCTCTTAAAGGTGTTTTCTCTCCCATACAACTGAAGAACTTGCAGCACTCTTTTACTCTATGACCTCTGCTGTTCTGTACTCGTTGCTATATGTTGCACTTGTCAAGGAATGTACCAACTGCCTTGTAGCACTCAGTTTGTCCCTCTTATCCTCACTGAGAGGCCATGTGGATGCTTCATTAATCTGATATTTTAATATCAGATATGAAAGCAGAGCAAAGAAAAAAAGAAATGGATAATGGTTTTACTGAGAATCAGGAGGAAAACAGCCCTTAACAATGATTAGTTAAACTAACCTGTATTAAAGCTATGGTAGGTGTCCATGTAGCCTTGATTCTGGATCTTTTTCTCATTAATTAAAAAGAGGTTGCTTGCTCAGGGACCATGAATGATCTTAAGGATTGCTCTAAAATGCTGTGCTGCTATAAGCGAAGACATGAACTCTTCCCTTTAACAGTCACTACACAAAATCCTTTTTAGCTGATATGATATGTAGATTTTCAGTTGAATTTTTCAATGATTTTAGTGCTTAAAATACAAGGAAAAGATGTTTTTATTACAGTTCAAGTTTGTGAAAAGTTAAGCCTTGTTACTGATGGGTAATTTGTACTATGAGACCTATGACTTTTGCTCTTTACTCTTAGCGTATTGTAGAACATTTTGCTTCTGATATTGATGTTCTGCTTTGTCTTATTAACTTTTTTTAAGCACAGCATACTTCAAGATAATCAGTAAAGACATGTAACTTCAAAATAAAGGAATTTTACCAGGCGTAAAGTTCTTCTACAGCTGTAGTTCCAAAGGGAGAATTTGGATGCTCAGCTCTACTCAAATGTCATTTTGAGTCATTTCTGTTAACAATCATGGGGCAGACATTGGGAACTGATGAGGTGGGGTCAGGGAGAAGATGCGAGAAATACCCAAATTGTAGAAGAAGTCTTGTTACTTGCTTTGATCCTCTAAGCTAGGAACAAAGTGATGGAGTACTGCTAAAGAAAAGGTCATGGTCTTAAGAACCGAAGCACTGGTCAAAAAAGCATATTTAAAAATCTTTGCAGCCATTCTGTCTGCTGTTTTTAACAATGAAGTAGAGATGGTGTACGTTCTGCTCATGTAACTCATACTTAGTTCAGTATGAGATTGAATGTTTAATTATTGGTAGGTAAGAAAAAAAATTAAATGATTTTTCTTGGATTAGTGACTGATAAAATAGGATGAAAAGCTGAGGCAGCCATTTTGTTCTTAATGTCTTGCTGTGATTGAGGAGACATAGTAAAATCAGAATTATATACCCCATTGAAACGTGACTGATATCAAACATTTGTTTCCTCATTTTATCAGGTTTTTCTTTCTCCTTGGAAGGCTAGTTGAGTCTCTCAAAGAAAGTACAGATGACTCAAAATTGGAACTAATTTTGTATCTCTTTCAACTAGGCTTATAGAAAGCTGGCCAAGGAATACCATCCTGATAAGAATCCAAATGCAGGTGACAAAGTAAGACTTGTTTTGTTTTTATATATTTTTTTCATTTAAACTCCTGAAGTTTGCTGTTTCAATAGCATCTAAAGACCTGAAAAAAGTGTTGGGGGCTTGGTGTTGCAGATGGCTCAAAAACAGTAAGAACTATGAGAGGGAACAGTGCCTTCTCTACTTATTTCCAATCTCAGGGCATACTTCGTGACAGAATGCAGCAGTTAAGTCAAATTCGTTGAGAAGGCAGTGCTGAAAGAATTGCCTCTTCATCTGCCAGTGTCAGCTGACACTGACATCTAGCTACATGTGTATTTGAAAAACATGAATAATCTGTTTTCTGGGCCCATATTTTTTTGAAAGTAAAATATGTGAAGATGTGGGAAAAAGTACTTTTGGAGGGACTTGAAATTGCAGCATAAAACACACCACATATATGAGAAGTTTGGATCAGATGTACTAATAGTAATTTTTAAAATGTTAATTAAGTTGACTCAGTTGATTATCCCTATCAGAAGTTCTCAAGATTGCTTAGAAGTGAACAGGGATGACTATGTGAAGATAAGCTTTGTTTTGTGGACTGATATGTTAAAATGCATTTTAAAATAGGAGAACTGAGCAACTTCTAAAGCGCCTGACAAGTCTGACAGTCGATATCATGTGTGTAACTTGTTTTTGCCTGCTGGCTACTGCAGTAACCTGTGGTTTTGTACCTGTTAGTAAGACTGTCTTGTGCTGGGCCCAAAAAGCAAGTCAGTGGATACCTGCAACAAAATGTCATGTTTGATGGGAAGGCAAGATGTAACACAGTGATGCCTAAATCTGCTTTCCTGTCTTACTAGGATGAGGGTGGAGAAGGTTTGTGTTGTGTACCATCCTCATCAGGTTTTCATGCTGGACAGGGAACTGTAGCAAAATTCTCACTTAGTTAAAGATTACTGTGCACTGATGTGATTCTTTCCTTTTTCTAGTTCAAAGAAATTAGCTTTGCCTATGAAGTATTGTCAAATCCAGAGAAACGTGAGTTATATGATAGATATGGAGAACAGGGCCTTCGAGAAGGTAGTGGTGGAAGCAGTGGAATGGACGATATTTTCTCCCACATCTTTGGTGGTGGATTGTTCAACTTCATGGGTGGTCAGAGTAGAAGTCGTAATGGTAGAAGAAGAGGAGAAGATATGATGCATCCTCTCAAGTAAGTATCATAATGCTGAAATTAATGTAAATATTCAACTTATCTGTACTCTTATCTGCTGCTGGTTTATATGTTTGTTGTGCACCCCAGGTGAGATTATGCAGTCTGCGTCTCCTTTTCAGACCTCTGTGTCACGTATAGTCCAGAAGGCAGTTAGCTGGTTTTCAATAAATGGTTAATCATGTAGGTTATCTGATACTTTGATTTGTCTCAATACTAGCCTGTAACAAGCCTTAGTTAATGTCATTTTCTTGGTGTTACTTCTCAGTTATGTTTGGAAGTTCTAATCTGAAATTGCATTAAGTAAACAAGTATTGTGTAATAGCTGGACTCTTTAGGTATTAATGCTCCTGAAAGATTTTAGCTAACTTGCATTCGTAGCTGACTGTCTGGAAGTATAAAGTATGTAATTAATGGGAAATTCTTTAAAAAGAAAAAAACCTTCAGAAACAAAACCAAACTGAACAACATGCTTGAATAGCACATGACTGTTCTTCACTTACAGTTAAAACTAATATTACTAATTGCTTTAGTTTTGTTTTTATTTGTAAATGCTAATGCTAGGTAACCTTTTCTAGTTTAATATACTTCAAGTTGAAACTTCTGTCCAATAATGTGAAACTGGGGAAACACTGTTCGTAAGCTTCTCTCACTTTACAGAGGTTATTAGAATTTGCTCGTATATTCAAGGGCATCTAAAAATGAACAAATGTAAAGAACTGTATAGCCTTGGGGACTTGTTAGTGTTGTTCTTTCTGCCTCCTCTCCCTCAGTATCTTGTGTTTTCCAGGGGAAAGTACAGTACAGTAGTAAGTAATCTTCTCATGTATGTATGCTATAAAGGCCTCCAAGATGATCTAGAGAGAGGAGGGCTTCTCACTTGCTTCGTAGAACCTCTTTGAAAAAGAAAACTAAAAGATCAAATGTGACTGTGTAGTGAAACATAATGTGCTATGTTAGCTTGCTTCCTGTGGAGAAACCCAACTAACCAATTACATC